CCTCACTGAAAGTACACCACGTGACAAGTTTGCTTCCTGTGCACTGCTACAATGATTACCCGAAGAATCGTGGATTTGGGAGTTCGTAAGACGCTGGGTTTCAGTCTCGGCTTGGGGATGGCTGCTCACCGGGTGCCTATTCAGATGCATCCCATCACAAAGCCCATTGTATAAAAGATGCAACTACAACGAAGTTCTGTTAGCCATCCATTCTGGTGCTGGGCTTGTTATAAAACCCGGAACTAAGAATTACGCGTGTACACGAATACATGTGGCGTACATTTCACCAGTGCGACATATCCCAAAGATCTTCATTGCGTGTGTTACAGCGGAAACTGCGGATAGTTAGTCCAGTCCTCAAGGCGACCCTTAAGCTGCGCAGTGAAAATTAGAGTATGGATTAAAACAATTTGTAGTGATATGCCGGGCTGATCCGACTACCGGTCTCTGGCAGTAGTAATTCCACAAACCCCGTTAGGCCGGTGAGAAGTGCGAGAGCCCGTTAAACTTTTCACAGTAAAGTAACAAACATCTGAGGTGTCTAAATCATATTTTGAGGTCAAGCAGACGAAAAGTCTGTACATAACTCTGGGAAAGCATATTTGTCAGTTCAGTGTTCCTTGGGATTAAATGTCCGGGTATGAACAAGCGGCCACGAAATTACAAAAGGAAGTGAATTACTCATGAAGTGTCAGTAGGCTAATTCATCCTCGTAACTGAAATTCGCAACACTTATGAACCCAGTTACCAGGTTTCAGAAAGGCTTGAAAACAACCGGTTGGTATAGTTTGTTGGCAACGTTTCGCTTTTGACACAAAAGCTTCCTCAGGCTGAGTGAACCAGTCGAGGATTGGTATAACACTTATAGCGAACTGGGATGATAATCGTGAAGAATGGGATGTAGGCAGGTCATCTCATCAACAAATAGCGCAAGAACTGGCCTAAGTGGTCCGCGTTACAAGGTCACACACGTAAGCCCTGTTGACGATGGGTGCGGAGATGATGCGGTGTTAATTCTCTGCTCTGGATCCCTCCACCGGCGCTTCTCAGACTGGTCGGGTTACCACAGCTCGTCATACACTCGAAAGCTCTGCCCCATCCACTCTGTTCACGCATCTGTTCACTTTGTTAATCTCAACCGCCTCATCAGTCAGCCACTGGGGAATTGATCGCCATCCCTTTCTAACGACTTTTACGTTATACAAGTCGATCTCATGTCCTGTATCTATCGTGTACATCGCTACTGACGAACTCCTTAGCAGATCCATATATGCAAGCTCGTTTCTCGGTGGCCGTGTTATGCGTCGCTTGTGTTTTGCTATTCTTGTGCGTAATTCGCTCGCTGTGTGGCCGATGTACACATGTGCGCTGTCTTTGCAACTAATTCTGTAGACGCAATTGGTTGTCCTAGCTGCGGGAAGTGGGTCTTTCAAGTGCACTATTGTAGAGCGGAGCGTTTGGTCTTTCTGAAAAATCCCCTTACGTTCTCTATGTTTAGGACCTTCCGGATGGCCTCCGAAGTTCCATGTTTATAAGGAATACCTATCGTCCCAATCCACTCCGTAGTACGCCGTGGGTGAGGAGTTAAAATTCGCTGAAACTGACGTTTCACTAACCACCTCGGATATCCACTACCAAGCAATTGGTTCATTGCTTCTTACCGGGCGGCCTTCCTATATTCTTCCTCTGTGCACAGGATCTGGGCTCTGTGAAACAGATATGAGCGATTCCAAGATGCACATGCTTTGCGTGACCTGAACTATAGTGGAGTACACTATCTGTGTCCGTCGGCCTACGATATATCGTTGTTCTTAGACTACCCCCATTCCTGCGAACTAAGCACTCAAGGAATGGCAATGTTCTATTGCCAGATGCTAAACCCATAGTGAAATTTATAGTCTCCGCAAGAGTGTTCAAGCGGTTTAGCAAGTCTTTTTTGTCCCGTTCTATGCTATCAAAGGCATCATCAACGTAGCGCCACCAAATTTTCGGTGAGATACAAGAGTCAGTAAGCGCCCACGTTTCAAAGTCTTCCATGTACAAATTTGTCAGCACAGGGGATATTGGTGATGACATGGCAAGTTGATGTTCCTGAGTGTATAATCTAGATTGGAACGTGAACTAAGACATGTTAATGCACAATTTCATTCCTACCGTTAATTGATCTACCGTAAGCTTTGTCCTCTCTCCCAGGTTACTGTCCCCAGTTAGACGATGTTTCGCTATCTCCAAAATGTCGTACATTGGCACGTTGGTAAAGAGCTAGTTAACGTCGAAACTGGCCATCATTTCATCCGACTCCATGTCAAGACCCAACACCCTTCACGTAAAGTCATAAGAGTTGGAGAGTTTCGATGTGGCTCTCTTCCATCCCCGCACTCCACTTCGGTGACGGTCCCACTGACCGTATTAGCAGAGGCTGACTTCAAGGTCAACAGACGCCACTAGTAAGATTACGCGTCGCAATCCAAGACACACGGCGGGTGCTCCAAAAACTTGAGAATCTAATTCTAACCGCTGTGTCAAACACTGCTCGTGGATCTCACTAGCCTAGTGATCATGGCGATAGCCGCCAAGCACTATGCGCCGAGTTCCACTCCCAGCTCAGCTATCTCTACCTGATGAGTCTTTACAAAATCATAAGAGTTCTTTACGAACGTTATCTCATGTCATGCCTACGGTCAGATGTGTCTGAGTTTGAACGATCGGGTGCATCGCCGGAGACAAACTATGTTCGCCAGAGAATGTTGTAATTGTTTGCTGAATTGTCCCCCTGACTACATTTATTGGATCCGGTCATCAACCGTCCAGTTGTAATGTACGGTGACCACTCCCATAGGATGTCTGGTGCGCCGATAAATGAGCTACCATCGCCTCAGGGATTTTGACATTGAAACATATTCATACTGCTTGCTCATGAGTAGGAGGCTTGTTTAAGCTAGGTATGACGGTCTGCCTCCTTCCGCCTAGGCTCAGTGGCTTGAGCTGCTGGCTAGTTGGTGTAAGTTGCTGGCTACCATGGGTTCGATCCCGTGTAGTGGGTCGAGAGAACGTGCAGCGCTGATGAGCGCCAACGGGGGGAACGAACGTTTGGTGTTTTTCCGGACTAGGCTTTGACTAATTGGCTTGTGAGCAGCTGCGACGAAGTAGGAACATTTCGCACTGATTACTTCGAGCCATTTGAAAGCACTGGACTACAAAGATAAACTGCTAGAGGTTACCTAGGAAAGTACAGCTCTCAAACAACTACGAGATGAACCAGGAACAAATCTTATGAGACAGATGAAAGACGTTTCATTACTGATGCCCACGGGTCAACCTGCTGTGTAGGATTATACGGAAAATGTTCAAAACCGATTTGTGCGCCGTTCGCTAAGGCCAGCACGTTATCTAGGCCGCTGATGTGATTAATCTACACTTGCGTCTCCACTACTAGAATTATCCTTGTACTAACATACTGACCAACTACTTTTGACGGCCAAAACAGATTTTCTCGTTTCGATAACAGTCCATTCCACTTACTGTAAGTGGTGGGTGTGAGGTCTTGCGGAGCCGCAGTGTTTCGAAGATCTTTGTGATAAGACTGATTGTACCAAAACGTAAATGGATTTACCAACTCACAAATGGTTGCTTCGACCTACTTGATAAATCATCAACTCAATATTGTAACACAGTATCATTTATTTCACTCCTGAATGCAAGCTCCAGGACGCTCTAATACAAGCCTGCTTTTTCGATCTATTGTACCAGGTAACATGAACGATTCTCACACTTTGTACTGGCACAGCCTACTATAGTTTCCTAGTTCGCCAAACTTCTCCGCTCAAGTGCGCTCAATCAGATCTTCGCTCACATCTTTACATCAATTAGGTTTGATTTCACTCTTCGCAGTTCAGTCGCAGCGTGTAACAACATCAGTTGCACGTTGGCACTTTCATGACTTTGGTATGTGCGCTACCCCGCTACCTTAGGACCGGGACCGGCTCATCCAGCAAGGTGATAAAAGCCATTGGGTTGACGTCCTATTTCCGTGTTCGAGAGTGTGAAGCTTATTCAGCAACGATAGCTGATTGTGAGTTTCTTATCCTTAGCTCCCTGGAACAGCACGGTATTCGTCCGCAGCAGCGGATGTATTCGAAGGTATGGGGATCGTCAAGGTCAGACGCTTGCGCTTTTCTTTGGTGCTCGAGTACTTAGGTCATCATATCCTGATCTATAAGCTCCACGAATGTGGTTCTGATCTCACATTCCTCAGATGGATGGGGTAGCTTCTTTCAACAACTGAAGTTGAAGGGAGCAATCCGGCTAAGTGTCCTTTCCAACGTAAGTTACATACGTCGCACCACAAGTTTCGCTATTAAGTCCATATTGACCATTAGTCATTCTAATTGATCTAGTGCAAGTAACTAGCAGAGTTTTCTACCTATTCTGCTCATGAGACAATATGAGTGCGGATTAGCAAATCGGACACTCAAACTGTACTTTAACCCAATTCGGAGGAGGCTTTAAATTGGAGAATCTGTTGATCAGAGTGAATAAGCGCACGGCTGTTCATAGACAACGCACAGACACAACAACGTTTGAAGGACTGAGAACACAACCCACAGCCCTTGACCTAGGAACTCGAGCTCGATGAGTTCGGATAGGATGACGTCAGCTGTTTTATACAGTTATAGTCGGCTTCAAAACATGGTTACTAACACACAGATATTTAGGAAGTTTTAAGTCGTTCATCTCTTAAATTTAGAACTCATAAAATATAATATCTGAGCTTGAACGGCTTTGCAGAATCGGCACCTGGCTAAACCATAGACCATCCGACGTGGAGTGATATTAAATGTCAAAGCGTTCCGCTGTCTTCCATGACCGCATATTTTGACGGCAATTGAAGCAACCGTAGTGAAGCTCTTAGTCTCTGGTTTGCAAATACTGAATAAATAAATCAGCAAATAAAGGAAAGTAATATTTGTGAACCTTCTCTAGCTCCACTGAATGCTCACCTCCACATTGCGTTTTACAAAGTCTGGTTTTGAGCCACCTTCATCCATTGTACCATCCATTACTTCAGTCGAGGTGATATTGTGGTTCTCGTAACCACGTGATTCTGTGCGTAGAGAGTGAACTTGGCCGGGCCAAACAAAGGCTTCCGTTGACGGAGTTCCATTATGGTTTTCAACTGAAGCCGTACAAGTAATGTTGGAGTATGCGTTTGGGAAATTACAGATGAGATTTTCGCATAACCTAAGGCAAACGATATGTAGAAAGCACTTCATAGTGTGACTCGGAGCAGACCACAGCTCGATTCCCTGTGCTGACGGTGAGCAAATTAAGCATCAGCTCAAATATCACCTGATTCACAGATAAACTCATTGAGAGAGCGGAACTGTGTGAATACCTTAATGATTGATTTTCAACTGCGTGTTTTCACACTGGATCACAGATACTAATTGCCACTAGAATTGTCGCTATAGACTCACGGAGACAGCGACAACTCTCTTCACAAGAAGATAGTATTTTGATAAAGGCATACCAAACTATACAGAATCCATACTGATATTTTACCTGCATTATTTGCCAGTTCAGATCTACTTAGAAGGTCTTTTGTCCCTCGAGCGTTATTGTTAACGAGCAATTTAACATATTAATTGGCTCATGTGGTTTTCAAAGGCGACTGTTGTAATGCAAAATAGTACCAATTGGTCAGTTGAAGTCTGAACTAAACGGTAGCTTGCGATCCAACACATACAAACTGCGAATGTACTCGTATCCGGTCCACTCGAGGGCTAGAAAACAAAACCATTATAGAAGTGATCTCCGCTAAGTTCACGACTTTATCAATAACAAAGTTGAAAAGGAAAGGTGACAGCGGGCATCCTTGTCTCACACTGCTGGAGATATTAAATGGCGACGGCACCTTGCCGTAAGCCCTCATTTTGCCTGAGCTACGCGCGTATACTGCTTGGATAATATTTGCATAGTTCTCAGATACACCTTTTCTGAGTAGACAGTCCCAAAGTGCAAGTCTATCCACCGAATCGAATGCACTTTTGATACCGAGGAACACGACAACGGTGGGCCGCCAATATACGTGACGGTGCTCCAATAACTAAAGCAAAGTGAAGACGGAGTCCACGCAGCCACGACCTCGACGAGTTCCGGCTTACTTTTCACGAATATGACGTTCACAATTGCCAGTCAGTCTGTGAAGGATGACAGAGGCAAGCAATTTAGAGGCGATGGAGATCAGACTGAGTGCTCTACGGCTGCTGCATTCCGATCGTGAGCCTACATTGAAAATTGGCATTATGACGGAAAGGCTCCAGTCGGTTGGGACAGTTTCCTGCTCACACAGTTTCACTAGCAACTCGGATAAGCCATCCACAAAGCAGGTCCCCAGAATTTGAAGGAGGTAGAGCACCTGTTCACGAGGCTTTATTTAACTTCAACAGTTCGGTCTCACGTTCCACTTCTGAGTGAGAGGGTGGATCCCAATGGACAGCCCAGGGAGCGGGGCGATTAGTAGCCGGCGAGAAATCTAACAATTCCGATCGATTAACTTGTCTTTCAAAGTGCTCATCCCAACGCTCCAAAGGTTTTGACAGATTGTGGGTAGGCTGTCTACTCTGGTCCCGTATAGTTCCACTGACACCAGGTCTTCTGCTGCCCGTTTAGCGTATCAGCCGGAATAATTTACGAGGGTTCCTGAGGGCAGCGGTGATTTCCATCTCTGATGTATGGTGAGACCACCAAGATTCGTGGTCTCTCTTCAGGCTTGCACTGATTCTTGCCCGAAGCTGTTTGCGAGTTTCGTTGTGTTCGCTTCCCGCCGGAATATGCAGGCGGGCATCGATAAGTTCCAGAGACTGCGAAGAGATCCATTGTCCATGTTGGCGGTTAGACATTCCACATGAGGATTTGCCTGCTGCTGGTAAGGTCTGGAGAATGTGAGACCAGTGAGCTTCAATTTCGTCCAGTGAGTGCTTATTCAACTCGCATGACAGCGTACATTGATGGGCATACAGAACAGCTGGCTTCGCAAGTTGGTTGCTGTCAATGCGCTCCGAACGTCGTCTTGGGCGTCCGCCAAAGCGTATCCGCTAAGTTAGTCGTCGTCAGAGTAAGCAATCATTAGGAATGCATTGAACGACCACATTTTTACTTTCTCAGGGCTCGCCATCAACGCGCATCCCGTCTGAACGTTGAAAAATGCGACCCATGACTCTTCCTTCCGGCACCATTGACAAAAATACTGGGTTGTGTTGTGTCATTTTTCATGACAGTCTGGGGTGTAGCGATACTCTTATTCACTACTTTGGAAGACTGAGTTAGAAAGCATATCATACAACAGTTTCCCTTCAAGTATGTCAACGGTGCAAGAACAACCACCATTTCGACGGAATAATCTGAATTCACTATGTTTCGCGTATTCTCATCAGTTGCTTACAGACAATGGTTGAAAAATTCAAACGGTTAGAAATGACTGGGCAATACCAGAAAGCGTTGGTTAGTTGTGTTAATGAGGCATGTGAACCCTACCAAAGCAAAGCAACATTGGTCACAAAGTCATGCTATTTGCATCGGTAAGGCTTCAAATGCCAGGTGGCAAGAGCCTCAGCAAAAACAGAACTTTGGGATTGTTCTGTTTGTTAAGCACCTTAAATGCGGCGCGAGGGCTTTTGCACATTGAGCAGTTGAGTAGTTGCCGGGCCACCGAGCTAGCAGGTAATGTTGCATCACTGAGAGCTAGAATTCGCTTAAAGTGTTCAGACCGACTAAAGGACTTACTTCGTATCTGTACAAAAGGTGTAGCGCGGGGCAGTCCACTTGGCCATATTTTAGCTGATAACCTTGTGGCCCATCTAGAGAACACTCAGTTGTGCCAGTTCATACAGAAAGCACACTTGTACACGCCATTCATTGCTAACACCAGCCGGAGAGAGGTAGTCTACCCGGATTTCGAACACAATCCCCGAAATCTAGCTCTCAGTGGTGCAAAATTACCTGTTAGCTTTGTTGTCTGGCAATTACTCGACTGCTTGAGACTGCGCTTTGCTGAAACATTTGCCATCCGGCATTTGAAGCCTAACCGATGCAAGCAGCTTGAGTTCGTGACCAATCTTGCTTTACCTTGGTAGGGCGCACGTGCCTCATTAACGTAACTAACCATCGATTTCTGATAGTGACCTGTCATTTTAAACCGTTTAAACTTTTCGACCATTGCATGTAAACATGTGATGAGAATACGAGACGGATACTGAATTCAGATTATTCCGCTGAAATGTTGGTTGTTCTTGCCCTGTGGGATATCATATCGTCGAACAGACGAAATGCGCACAGCTGACAGGTCCCAAAAAGACAAAATGGTTCTCCAATTCTTTTCTGGAATTGCAACTTCTGTCCAATTATTTGTGGCTTGAATGAATATCCATTGAAGTTGATTCCAATCTCTCCTATACAACAACCAACAGCTAGAAAAGCCCCTTCTCAATTGCTACATTGCATATACGGACCGGTTTCACGCATCACCTTTTGAGACAAGCAACATTGTGCGTAGAATCAATTCTTAGCCTGAGGCGGGAGACTAGTTTGGTATCTGGCGAGTGCGCAGCCATTACCCTCTTTCAGCGTGTCGACAACATCAAGAGCTAAATCGGCACGTAACAGCGCTGAAGCGAAGGACGCGCGAAAACATCCGGCGAAAATGCGAAGTAACGGGTTCCGTACAACAGATTCGTTGTACAGACGAATTTTTCGGACTCTAAGCGATCAGTAAACGAAGCTCAACGACCGTATTGTAAGCACATCTACGACGACGATGCTCCGATGAGCCCATTAGCAGAACAAACGAACGGAGCGGAAAAACACGTATTCGGCGACACGACAGGAGCAAAAGTGTTAACCGGTACAAGCGTACATAAACAAGTAGCTTCGTTAACGATAGACGCAGTGATGTTTTTACCGTTTGGTTCGTCATGAATAAGAGACACATCAAGATAGGAAAGGGAATAAAACAGGCATTAAAAAAGCGTCTAGTTTGGACGAACCAGTGCGGTTTTACTTGCGTTACAGTGAGGGAATCTAATTAGTGCGCGACATAAAATGACTTTGTTGTTCTTTAAATACTAGAATCTTAATCGAGGCAAAGACTTAGTTTTTGCATCTCAAGGAGAGCTGTTAAGACACAGACGAAATGGAATTTCGCCGACATAACAAACAAAATAGTTACGGTACTCCTGGCTAGTATGCTTGTTTATCGTTTCGGCTTAAGGCTCATGTTCTCATCCCATCACTCGCTTATTTATACCGATCGTACTGGCCGACAGAATGCATCTCTCTTAAAGCCTGATAATATCTCGGTACTGACCGTGCACCCGTTAAATACTTCTTTGGAGTTCTACCTGGCAACTTTAATATACTAACTAGTTGATGGAAAACGTTGCACCGCTTCTTTCTAATTCTCTGGCATTCAGGCACCCGGTCAGTTTGCAGTGTTCAATGAGCAGGGTAAGATGAGTCCACGATACCTACGGAAGCTCGATTCAGACACAATGCGGCTTACTTGGGGCGGCGGCACTTCAATGCATGTTCCATCGCTTTTTCTCGAGGATCACATTGGAGTGAAATCCCCTGAGCCAAGTAGTGCATCCTCCAAGCATTGGTATTTGTAAGAACATAATTTTGCGAAGAGTACACTTTTCGCCAAATCTCCTCGGACATTTACAATTATAAAATAGAAGGGCAAAGCACAAATAGCTGATGAAGCCAAAGGGGCAAGAATAGTGGAATCAATTGTTCATTTGTTCTCCGAGCTTGGCGGTTTTCTCGCAAACGTTTCACCACCATGCGAGGTGGCATCCTCAGTGCAGTGATATGCAGCGTGTAAGTTTACTAAATGAGTCCTCCATCCATGATCGACCTGCAGGTGACTTTGAACGTGGCAGTATCGATTTAGGTCCCGTGACCTCCACCCACTTACACGCTGCATATCACTGCACTGAGGATGCCACCTCGCATGGTGGTGAAACGTTTGCGAGAAAACCGCCAAGCACGGAGAACAAATGAACAATTGATTCATCAACCCGAGCTACCAGTATTTCGAAACATAGTGGAATCACTACAACCAGAAACTCAAAAGTCTTGATCGATAAAGTTGACTAACAATACATGTGACAAAGTACGTGTTGGTTGATCGGTGGAACGCCAAAAGCATCATCCCATCACTGTAAGCGCTCGAAGTGATAAATTGTTAAGCTAAGCAGGGCCAAGATAGAAG